CACTGTCTCTTTGTCTCTCTAGCAAGTGCACATGACCTATAGCACAAATCTCTTTCTTAAAAAAACAAAACTAAGCTTATTGATGTGCTGATTCAGAGTGGAAGAAAAAGAATTAGAGCTAACAACTCCCTGAACAGAGTTGAGATGGTGGAGAGGGTATGGGACAGAGGATGTGATTCATGGTAATGTAAGAGAAAGCAAATGGGATCTGTCTCAAAGATGCATTTGAAATGCCTCCTTTCATGACATGCAGCCAAAAACATAAACACATAAGGCAAAGGAAATTAAAAAGAAGAAAGGGTTCCAATAAATCCAAGAGTTCTTAAACTCTTGATACGGACTCCCTTCCTCCCCTCCTTCCTTCCTTCTTCCTTAACCAACCACTGATTTTCTCAAGAGCATTTATTTCTCCCTTTTCAGCGTAAGCGTGCCAAACCAATTTAATATATTCTCTCAAAATATTTAATCATTTTTAGTGTTCTGTTTTTGATCCTCAGCAGTTTTTCCATAAACTTTATGATTTAGGGACTTAAATCGGTCCAAATAATTTAATTTTAGCCTAGTGGTATCCAATGGTGAAAAGTCATCCTGAGTTGTTCATCTGGAGATTTTGCTGATGTAATCCTTTTACAAAGGAGCAAATGTGTTTATCTCACCAAAATAAGGCTTCTAAAGTAAGGGATAACCACAATGTTTCCATCTCTGACCATGCCTTTTCTGGACCATGTTTATAATGTAACAAAATAAATTACAGCTCTCAAGGGACCAGCAGATGGCATAGCGGTTACGTGACTGAACTCCCACATGGCTAATCGCAGTTCAAGTCCCAGATCCCGTAGCTTGAAACCCATGCTGGGCACGTGTGCATGCATACCCAAGATCCCAGGAGGAGAATGGAGAAGGGATTGTGGTGTGGCCATCCTCTCTGGGGAGTGATGTCTCACATTCCCTCTCACTGTTTCTATCTTTCTTTCTCTCCTGCCGGCGCATGCTCCCTAAGGCAAAAACCTCTCTCTATATATTTGAAATATATATACATATATATATAAAATGTCAAAACATTGTTTGAACTAAAGATCTAGAATGGAAACACATTGTACCTACTATAGCAAATCGGTCTTTTAATTAAATATCAAAAGACTTCAAAAAGTTTGTGGGAAAATAAAATTAAAATTTAAGTTTATTTTGTGTGCACACAAGCAGTTGCAGTCCATACATAATTTTTTTTGTATTTTTTTCTTTTTTAAAAAAATCATTTTTATGTAAGTAACTATTTGCTGTGATTTTTCAGGCTACTTGGTCCAGGACTTGAACTGCAATTGACCATGGGGGAGTCCAACCACCATGCCACCTGCGGGCCCCTCTTTATTTATTTTGTTTCTTTGTTTGCTTGTCATAGGATGTGTACACTCACCAGAGAGAGAAAGTAAGAGAGAAAGTAAAAATTCAGCCCCCAGTGGGGCTGACCATGCCGCGATCCCTTCTCCTACATTCTCCTCTCAGGATTCTTAGCACGCATGCTCCTCTCAGGATTCTGAGCACGCATGCACACGTGTCTGATGTGATCTTCAAGCCACTGGGCCTGGAATTTGAATTGCAGTTGGCATGTGGGAGTCCAGCACCTTAAGCACCTCACTACCTTCTGACCCCTTCCATGCACATTTTGTATTTGTGGCCTGTTAGCCATTAGAAAAAAAAGAGAAAAAATTAATGTATATCCTAGATAAGAAACTTCATCATGAGAGTTACTGACCTAGAAACGCGAAGCCCAAGCCATGATGGCACATGCAAGACGGCATCACTGCACAGTGGCTGGCGGGTGAGAGGGGCCTGGGTTTGGTGCTCCACTGAACCTAACTGAACAGGCCAGGTACGATGGCGTGTGCCTGTGGTCTGAGCTGACTGAGACCAGGGCAGGAGGACCACTGAACATGGCGAGACTGTCGGAAATACCTAGCACTCTCCCTCCCTCCCCCTCTCCCCTCAGGAAAGGAAAAGACATTTAGAAAGAGTAAGCAGTGTATAAATGTCACCCCATAATTGAAATAGGCATGTCTCTTTAATGATTCACAATTGTCTCCATGATAGGGATGTGATACACTTTACAGAGGGGTAAGCCCTAAAACAGGATGCTCATCCCTAACCCACTGGGATTTTCTACTGGTTCCACTATTTTTCTCAGTGTGAACATTGGGGGGGGGGGAAGATAAAAGAAAAAGAACTTGATGTCTTTTCTTTCCTTTTATGTAAGATTGCCTGGAGGGAAAAGAAAAAAAAAAAACAGTAAGATGCATTTTCTTCTCAAACACAAGGAGGCAGTGGGAGAAATTACAGTTGGGCGGAAGGTCACTCTACATATGGACAATTCTGCCACCTAGGATGACACTTCTGGGTCTCAAGTCACATATCTGTATAGATCTGAGAGAGAAATCATGGGAAACAATCTCTGTAGCTTAAATTACGCTATAATATGGTTAGTGCCTTGTACTCTAAGGAGGGTAAATATAAAGATGCCTCATAAACAGCCATCAAAACCCTTTTGTCCAGGAAGATTTAGTACTCAAGAACCTGATGAATATTCGTGTGGTTTCACCCAAGCCGGAGCTGAAGTCCTGACACACAGATCTGAAGGTGACCTCATTTGAGGTGTTGGCCCACATGTGATACTGACTTTACTGAAAATTGCACATGGAATAAATATCATGGAAGCTATTATCCTTGACTTAATAATAGGCATAATGCCTCCTAGTAGTTAATTTCATTACTCTTTGGCTGGGGACCAGTTCACAAAGATATTGCTCAATCTTTTTCTCTGGCATAGTTACTCAGTAGTTGGAAAATGAAAAGCATTTTCCAAGAGAGCAAGTTGAGGTTTTATAAATCTTCTCACTTGTCTAATTAAAATGTTCCACTAAACTTATTTTTAGGTTTCTTTTTTTTTTCTTTTTTTTTTTTTTTTTTTTGAAGCTGTTAACCTAAATCCTAACAGATCTTAGAACAGATTTGGCTAGAACAGCTGAGTGTTCGCTTTACAACATAGTCCATCTTTTTTCTTTCAGCAGAATCTGGTTGATTCCGTACTAACAGACTCCACATAGAAATACATGGACCTTTTAAATGACTTTTGGTCATTGTTTTATGCATTTATGCATTTTAATTTTTTATATCTTTCATCTTAAGTAAGATAATACATATGTATTGAAGAAAAATAAAACATATGTAATTGCTTTAAATTTAAAATTACTGATCATTTCATTACCTATCAGTATCATTGTTGACATTTTTGTTTTGTTCCCTGTCAGTCTTTTCGTCCTCGTTTATACATCCTTATTATTATTTTTTGTTTTGGGGCCAGCAGGTGGCATGGTGGTTAAGGAGCTAGACTCCCACATGGCTGACTGTGGTTCGAGTTCTGGACCTGGCAGCATGCTTTCTCACTTTCCCTCTCTCTCTCTCTGGTCAAATTAAAAAATAATAATAAATAAATTAAATTAAATAATTATGAAAAAGAATTTTTTAAAGGAAAAGTAGACTGTTTCATATATATTCCTTTTTAACTTTTTCTACTTGATATACATGTCATGGACATTTTCCTATTATTTAATATTTTAGGACATAATTTCATTGCTTGCAAAGTATTCCATTGTGTTATCGTAATGTATTATAGAAGTTTGGTTGTTTGCATTATTTCTTTCCATTCCCTATACATTTATAAAATATGAACTCTTGTATCTTTGTACAAATCACTCTGTTGAAATTTTTATTTTTTAACACAAGGATGTTGAAAGTATTAGAATCAGAGCAATTTGAGCAGAACCAGACAATGGGAGCCAAAGAATACAACCAAGATATTATTGATTCATTTTCAGGGACCGGTCACTTTGTTGAGGCTATGTGTTAATGACTTTAATTCATCTGAATGACCCTGGATCACTTTACTTTAGAGCTGGAGAGACTTAGTGGACATTCGAAGGGAAAAAAAAAAATCTTTTAGAAATGATGCCAATAGAAAGTAAATAATTCTGCCTCCTAGCATAAAGAGAAGTTGAATTCTAATTCCTGCATGATAGG